GGGCGACAGCTTGAGGCTCTGTCTCAAAAAAAAAAAAAAAAAAATCCAGTGTATGCCTTTCATCCCCATTTTTCAGAAGGTAACACAGTGGATGCAATATCACTAGGTTACAAATTGGGATAAATAAAAATCTGAACCGTATGATGATGAAAAATCTTAATGACTTCTGGAAGGATATTAGTACCATTTTTCTAAGTGTTTTTTTTTTTGCCCCTATACCAGGTCCTTCTTTCTACCCAACCTAGTACCTACCTCCCAGATCGTGCCTGACCTAGTTATTTCTCAAACCAGCAAAAATCTACTGAAACTGTCACCTTTCTCCCTCGAGAACAACTCTTCCTTTTAGCTTCATAGTCATCTACCAACAAAACGCGAAATGAATTCTCTATCCTCCCTGAAATATTTAAGTGCCTAATGTGGTCATCTCCTAAAATTCTTGACTGAACTATTCATTTTCCCAACAGAGATCTCAGTACCCTACTTTATATTTAAGCTCTTCACCAGTTACAACCTTGTTGCTCCACACCATTTATCAGTTTACCTACTAGCTGAGGTTACAGTCGAAAGAGGTTGACTATTCAGACATTTTATGAACAGAAAGCAACCTCGTAGTATAACTAAAAGCATACTATTGCCTCTTGAGAAACTGAAAAATGACATCACCAAATTTTACAGCCAAACAGCAGGGGTAAAAAACTTGAAGATGCCTGCAAATACACAATTACTTTGCTATTCCCTATTATATTATTTTTTTCAACCAAATCCTAAACTTAGAACAATTTTTTTAAGCTTATTTAATAAAAGTTATCTGACTCACCAAAAACAATAAACTTTTCAATAAAGGTTATTCTCATTAGATACTATATATTGCACAAATTTTCTATACACTCAAAATTTATGTTAAAGTCCATGATACCCAAAAAATGAATGTGTATTAAATTCATCTGGAAGAAGCCACGACAAAGAAATAGGTTAAGAATCACAAAACTAACAGCACTTCTTCATTTTTTCCATCAAAGATTCTCAACCCCACTGGAGACACAATGCCTTGGGAAGCAATGAATGAATAGCAGTCTCAGAATACCTAAGATCAGGCTGTCAGAACCTCTACAGATATAGTTGGCCTGAGTATTTCTAAAATATGACCAAGAGATTCTCGCATGCAAAATAGGTTTAAGGGGCATGCTGCTTCAAGCTCACTGGGTTTTAGTGACTTCTACTAATTCAGTGTCCGTGTTTCCCAGTCATATGATTAATATTCTATCTATTCTACACTAGAAATTATCTTCATTTTTAATTTTTAAAGTTTCAAAGTACAAAAATGATTAGTTTTCAAAATATTATGTTCAAACATTACACAAATCTGAAAGACTGTTAAGATCAATTGAAAAAAATGTTTTTTTGGAGACAGAGTCTCACTCTGTCTCTGTCACCCTTGCATCACAGCGCACAGTAACTTTAGACTCTTGGGCTCAAGAGATCCTCTTGCCTCAGGTTAGGAACCCATCACATTTCTCTGTTTTTACTAGACAGAGATGGGAATCTCAGTCTTGCTCAGGCTGCTCTCAACCTAAGCTCAGGTGATTGATCCAGTTGCCTCAGACCTCCCAGCATGCTGGGATGACAGGGGTGAGCCAGAAAAGCCCAGGTATCAAATACAATGGCCAAAAACAAATTAAGAGGGCTGAAGTCCAGGCATGTATTTCACATAGCCATCCAAAAAAAACTTCATGGCTAAAAACAAAGCAAAACTAGTTACCACTTATCTTAAGAAAGTAAACATTATGAATGATGAAAAACACTTTTGGAATGTGCACACTTCTCAAAAGGTCTTTCTCTTGAACCTATGCAGAAAGAACTGATTCCTGAGTGGCATCTTGTGAAAGTGAACCAGTTAATGTTGATGAAGCTACAAGATTAATGGCTCAATTGTGTAATACAGTGGTGGTGCATCTAATTCTTCCCCAAAGACCAATGAATTAAATAAATGTTTTATACAAAAAAAGTTATGACCTTCAAGGCCTTTTACAATGTAGACGCAAACTAGTTTTCCAGTCCAATTCTTCTAGCCCTTTAAAAACTAGCTACCATGGAGTATTTCTCAAATACCTATGTGTACATTTCCAGGTCTCCTTAAGGTGTTTGACGTAACTCCTTTGCCATGATTAATGAACTCACAAAGGGGAAATTTTCTGATCAAAAAATTTATCTGGCTCAGCACCTATAGCAGAGTGGTTATGGCACTGGCCATATACACCCAGACTGGCAATGAGAACCCAGCTCAGGCCAGCTAAACAACTACAACTGCAACAAAAAAGTAGCCAGGTGCTGTGGTGGGTGTCTGTAAGCCCCAGCTACTTAGGAGGCTGAGGAACGAAAATCGCTTAAGCCCAAGAGATAGAAGTTGCTGTGAGCTGTGACATCACACAGCCCTCAACCTCAACCAAAGGTGACAAAGTGAGACTCAAAAAAAAAGAAAAAACCACTTTTTATTCCAGAAGTAAAGTCAAAATTATTATAAACAATAGCACAAAAATATAATAATGGAATACTGGCATTCTAAGATAAGTAGCAGTATGTAACAGGTCATGTAACTTTTTTACTTTGTGTATTATACAAAAAAATTTTTGTTCCATATACAATATAAAAAAGCCAAACAAATACATCTAATATTTCCTTAATGCTAATTAAGACTCATGTGATGATAACATCATTCTATTTCATGGTAACTGCCACCTCAGTTCTACATCCATCATTCAAAGTCATCCCTATGCACACATCTTTCTGCCCAATATATACTAATGCTACTTTGAAAGAAATCATATTCCAACTTTTAGAATTGAATCATCCACCCCACAATCTGTTGGACACTTTATCTCTCAAAGTATTCTATATTATTAATGAATTCCATACTTCATACTATACTCTTACTTTATATTCGTTTTATGTCCAAAAACTACAGAATTTTTAACGTTAGAAATTTTTTTTTAGTTTTGCTATGATCCCAAACCCATGCCAAGCTAACTGGAAAGTCAGGAGTTGCCTAACAATGGGGATCCATTCTGAGAAATACACCTTCATACACAAACATAGTTAGTATAACCTATGACTAATACTTAGGTCATATGGTGCACCCTATTTCTCCTAGGGTTCAAACCTGTAAGTCATTAGCATAGTGCAGCAATTCTCAACTTGTGCATCGTGACCCCTTTGGGGGTCAAACAACTCTTTCACAGGGGTTGCCTAAGAGGATCCTGCATGAGATATTTACATTACGATTCATAACAGTAGCAAAATCACAGTTATGAAGTAGGGAAAAAAATAATTTTATGGTTGGGAATCACCACACATGAGGAACTGTATTAAAGGGTTGCAGCATTAGGAAGGTTGAGAACCCCTACTGTAGTCAATGCACGGGTAATTTATAACATAATGAAAAGTGTTCATGTATTTTAATAAATCTAGAACAGAAAATGTTATGAGATCACCACTATACACGCAGACTGCAACAGTAGAAATGTCAGTATGCAGCACATGACTGTATTTAATAGAGACAAACTACAAGAACACAGCTCACAGATAATGAGTCCTGTTTTATCATCAGGCAATCCAGATAGTCCTTACTTTCATTTGGCATACAAAAAACACAGAAAACCTAGAACTGATTTCTCTCCAGAAATTGGTAACTAATACCCTGGAAAATAATGGACATGTCCCCACTGGTCCTAAACATAAAAACTGATTCTTTGAAATCAAAAGAAAAGTCACTTATACTCAATGCTTTAGAAGAAGCTATTTTTTTGCTTGGTGCCACAGCACAGTGGTTATGGTGCCAGCCACATACACCAAAGTTGGTGGGTTTGAACCAGGCCCGGGCCAACTGAATAACAATGACACAACTGTTAACAAAAAAATAGCCAGGCGCTGTGGCTGGCCCCTGTAGTCCCAGCTACTTGGGAGGCTGAGGCAAGAGAATCGCTTGAACCCAGAATTTGAAGTTGCTGTGAGCTGTGACGCCACAGCACTCTAACCAGGGCGACACCTTGAGACTCAGGGGGTAAAAAAAAAAAAGTTTTGTTTTTTTTCTATTTTGGTATAAACAAAAGATTTGTTTAAAAACGTATTTGCTGTTCAACACTAAAATGAAAATAATTTTTTCTTTTGTTTACCAGCCTGGGGCCGGGTTCAAAACCACCAGCCCAGGAGCATGAGAGGTTGGCACCCTAACCATTTAGCTATAAGCACCCAAAAATGATTCTTAACTTAATAGACAGAACAAAACATTTTTAACATACCTGTCATAATAATCCCGTTGAAAGTCATAATCCAAGTCAAAAGAGGAGCTGAAAAATGAATAACAGTAAGGATTAATTTGGAGCGACTATTATTAATTCACAACAGTAGACGGGAGAAAAAAACCATGCCAAATAAACCACAACTAAATCAACAAGATTAGCATGGAATAATCCCCAATCATTTAAACAATAAATCAGTTAATTGCAATCATCTTACACCACTAGCCACTCAGTGGCCAAATTGGCAATTTGTGTGAAAATTAACTAAAATTTAAATAAATATAGCTAAAACAATAACAATGATAAATATAATAGTAAACTAAACTTTTTTTTTTTTTTAAAAGATAGAGTCTCAAGCTATTTCCCTGGGTAGAGTGCCATGGTGTCACAGCTCACAGCACCCTCAAACTGAGGCTCAAGTGATCCTCTTGCGTCAGTTTTTCCATTTCTAGTAGAGACAGGATCTCGCTTTTTGCTCAGGCTGGTCTTGAACTCCTGAGCTCAAGTTTTTCACCCAGCTTGGCCTCCTAGAGTGCTAGGATTACAGGCAACCTGGCCTAAGCTAAACATTCTTATAACACCCTCCATGCTGTTCTTAATCCCCGCTTCTTAGAAGCTAAACAACCCCTCTACACATATGTCAATTTATGTTATAAATATCAATCTACTCTGCAATTGGAAAAACCTCTGGGATTTCTAATAATTCCCTAGTCATCAGGGAGAAAGGAGGCATATTAACATGAAATAACGAATAAAGCATTACTTTTACACAGATAAAACATACTACATTTAACCCTCCCCACATCCAGTAAACAGAGAAGATGCCCACTGATGGACACAATGCAGTTATAAATAATAAAGTTCCGGACCTGAGTAGAGGGGACGGAGAAGGGTGTTCTGGTACTGACCCGTACATCTCCGCTGCAGATCGTTTCACACCTGCTTTTCCTCGATTCACTTTTGGCTCTGCAGCCAGATTAATATCTGAAAAAAACAAAAATAAAAATTTAATGATAACACTGTTGAAAATAATAAAAGCTACAACTACAGACTTTGTAAGTGGGTGCAATCAGATAAAGTCTAATAATGTATTTCACCTTTCCTTCTCATATAAAAAAGGTTCACAGATTTTGAGAACTTACTCTTCTCTAGTGCACTTTATTCTCTGTATTATACCAAAGTGTTTGCCAGTCACACTAACCTTGTCTTTCTTAACTCTCTACCCTCAGCTCCAACTTTTTTTTTTTTTTTTTGAGAAAGAGCCTTATTAAGCTGTCACCCCGGGTAGAGTTGCGTGGTATCAGAGCTCACAGCAATCTCCAACTCCTGGGCTTAAGCAATTCTCCTGCCTCCACCTCCCAAGTAGCTGGGACTACAGGCGCGAACCACAACGCCCCACTATTTTTTTGGTTGCAACCATCATTGTTGTTTGGAGGGGCCCAGGCTAGATTTGAACCCGCCAGCTAAGGTATATGTGGCTGGTGCCTTAGGCACTTGAGCCACAGGCGCCAAGACCCTCATCTCCAACTTTAATTCAACCATCATGATTGAAGGCATCCACTCTGCTCACCCAGTTGTACTATTACAAATGGAAAGTAACAATGACTAATAATGGGTGCCTTTTCAGGTTAAACGCATTTTGAACAGACAAAATATTAGGATGAGTGAAAAAGTTCAGAAATAGATGCAACTTTCAAAATATAACATTAACTTTTAGCATAACTCTAATTACAGAGTGCCCAGCTACTTGCCCTGCCAACTACTGCCTACCAAAGTAAGTATATACATTTTAAGAAAAAAACCTGCCGGGCCAGCTAAACAACAATAACTGCAACAAAAAATAGCCGAGCGTTTTGGTGGGCATCTGTAGTCCCAGCTACCTGGGAGGCTGAGGCAAGAGAATTGCTTAAGCCCATTAGTTTGAAGTTGCTGAGAGTTGTGATGTCAAGGTACTCTGAGGACGACATAGTAACACAGTATTAAAAGGAAAAAAAAAAAAAAACAGTGATTATACCATCTTAAGTATTAAGAATTATTGGCTTCTTCAACTGTAAGACTAATAAATAAATGAAAAAAATACAAAGAAATAAAAGAAATCCTTGTTGAACAGTCACGTTACATATCACAACACTTTCTGGTTTTCCCTGTACTTTGGGTGTTGGACAAATAGATACGAAAATCTCCTGTGTCTCTGTGTACTTTCCATTGAGTAAAATATATTGAATTTACACACTAAAAGGTCTCATCACTCATCTTAATGCTCTCAGTTTATGTAAATTATCTTGACAATGGATGACAAATCATCTGAGGTACTGTTATCTCCATTTTTTTTTTTTTGGAGACAGAGCCTCAAGCTGTCCCCCTGGGTAGAGTGCCGTGGCACTACAGCTCACAGCAACCTCCAACTCCTGGGCTCTAGCGAGTCTCCTGCCTCCGCCTCCCAAGTAGATGGGACCACAGGCGCCCGCCACAACGCCTGGCTATTTTTTGGTTGCAGCCGTCGTTGTTGTTTGGCGGGTCCGGGGTGGGGATTCGAACCCACCACCTTAGGTGTACGTGGCTGGCGCCTTAGCCGGTTGAGCTATAGGCGCCGAGCCTGTTATCTCCATTTTAAAAGATGAGAAAACTTTGGCTCTGGTGTTTGTTTCATAGTGGTTAGGGTGCCAGCCACATGTGCCTAGGCTGTTGGGTTCAAGCCCAGCCCAGGTCAGGTAAACAACAATGACAACTACAACAAGAAAAACAGGTGGGTACTGTGGTGAGCGCTTGTAATCCCAGCTACTTGGGAGGCTGAGGCAAGAGAATCACTTAAGCCCAAAGAATTTGAGGTTGCTGTGAGCTGTGACACCACTGACACTGAGGGTGACACAGTCAGATTCTGTCACCAAAAAAAAAAAAAAAAAAATTCAAACAAGAGAAAACTTAAAATTCAGTCGAACTATGCAGCCTACCTAATACATGAAGCAGGGAAAACCCTAATGCTGAGCCAGACAGCCTGACTCCAGAGCCTAACATATGACTAAGCTATATTGTCTCTCCCCAGTCTACTATGGGCAATACACAGCCATTAGACAACACCATTCCCATCCCCGCCATCTTTCTCAAGGCTGCCAACTGAGAGATGTCCAGCCTCTATCCCACAATAGAGCATAACAAAGGATATCCTCTATTTAGCCCATTATGCCTATAAGCCTAACATTTTTATTAAAGTCAGTCTCAGCACCCAAAATACCTCAGACTGTTAGCTTTACACACACAGAATATGATTAAACAAAGTTAAGGGGGAAGAAAGGCAAAGAGTAACAGGAGTAGAATAACTCAGGCCTGAATTTTATCAATAAATAATTTTACTCACATCCTAGAACTTACCTAAAACTTGGCCAGCAATCATTCTGCCATCCTCTCCTGCTACAGCAGCCCGGGCATTCCTCTCATTAACATACTGAACAAAGGCAAAGCCCTTGTGAACAGAGCAACCCACAATTTTGCCATATTTCGAGAAAATTGCTTCCACATCAGACTTCTTCACCACAAGAGTGTTGAGATTCCCGATGAATACACGGGAGTTCATGGAGCGAGGGTCTGTCTTGTTGGTAACATTGCTAGCCATTGCGTTTTGATGTTGAGGTTCTTCACAAAGCGGAAAAAACTAGAAGGAAAAAGCAAGTATTCAGGTGAACAGATGCTAAAAACAATACTGCATGATAAAACTTTAATCTACTCTCATTTTGAACTGCCGTGACTGCAGAGTATCAGTCCACTTAAAAAAATCTCATAGCAGCAAATATAAAATAGACAAGAGACCCTAAATATATCCTGTGAGAAATTCAACTTCCTTTTCTCCAAACGTCAGTAACATTAAACTATCAATTCACAGAAGAAACCCCCCCCCCTTGGAGACCATTAGCAACACAATCCTCTTGGATATTAATTCCAAGTGGCCCTTCTCTATTCAAGTCCTCAAAGAAATTACAATCCCTACCGTCAAATTCTCTATGAATTTCTGCTGATTCCTCATTCCCCGTCATGCTAACCATTCAATCATCAATAACTATCTTAACAGTGCTTCGATTAAAATTAGTTTCACTCATTCTCCACCAAAATACAAAACTCCAATTTCTGTTCCAAACCATTCATTAGTTGAATCAACATGGATAGCTTAAACTTACCCTTTAAATGTAATTTTCTTATACAAAGGCAATAAATAGAATCAATTTATTTCCTCTGGAAATACGTATTTCCAGACACTTCAATTGATTCGTAACATGCTGCATATATACAAATATCAATATCTTTTTATAGACTGCATTGAACTATACACCTACTTTTTATATGATGTCCTACAATATAGGTAGAACATTTAATAGTAACAGATGGTGATGATGATAAAAGTAGCCAGTGAAACACCACATGTATTTAATGAGGATCAAGGGAACTAAGAAAGAAAATACAATTTTTCAGATTGCTTAAACATATACTCTAAACATTATCCATTCTTATGAGTGTGATGCTCAATCCTATCACAACACACAATACCATTGATTTTGTAAGTGAAAATGTTTTATTTTACATTCTTTTAACTTTTATGTAAACATGCTGGCTTTTCCCACCAAAACCCCTAAAACTTGACAGGATTTAAACAGTAACGCAAGATTCATTTCTCTTCACTCCTTTGAAAAACACTGAACCTCAAATCAAAAAGATACCAGTGTCTAGGAGTCACCCCTTCCAGTGATCAAGTTAAATTGTGACAAGCTAGTTCTTGTGAATGATGTGAAAATATCCTACCTATTCACTTATTTACATAATAAACCAGGTAGTATACTATAATTGATACATTATCCCTACCACTGAGCCTTAAAAGTCATTTAACACACAGTGCTTAATAACTTCTGTTCCTTTCAAATCATTCTGAAATTCTAGTATCCCCTTTATGTTGGCTTCTAAATTACATCTTTCCAAACAGTAGTTCTTATTTATTCTTTTTTAAGAGTACATAATGAAAATTAACAAACAGTAGCCACTGAAAATCACCTATAGCCTAACAGCTGTTGACTGCACCAGAAATTAGTAACAATCATAGAGCAGGAAAAAAGAAACCTGCAAAAAGGCCTAACTGATTACAGATACAATAAATTAATCAAGACTTGCTATTTTTACCAGCAGAGATATAAAACCAGTTTTCAGAACTGTTTTTCACAAGCAATACACATATTAATATGTAAACACAGATAAAATCTCCCTGGCTTTAATAAGAAATTACCTACTAGGGAAAGAAGATGGCCCTAGGTGCCATCAGCATGCTGTATGTAAGGGGAAAAGAAAAAAAAAATCACCAAACCATACACAATGAACATCTTATCCATTCAGCAGGGTACCTTTCTACACTATGTATCAGAAATGGTACTACACATTCATTTTATAACAGTTATTAAATATATCCATTTTTATATAACAATTTTCTCAATCTTCCCAACTATGGCACATAGTTCCAATTTAGAGTATAAAATTGATACAGATGAAACATTCACTGGCACATTCAGGCTTAATTCTCAAAAAGAACCACATGTGAAAGGTTTAGTGGAAAAGCATCCAGACATACAAGTAAAAAGATGCTAAGAAAGGCTGTCATCTCTAAATTTAACGAATGATTATACTTCTCATTTCTGTTGATTATGGTATAGTTTCAAAATTTACTACAAAAATCGTGAATTACTTGTTCATGTGTAATTTAAAATATTGTACTATTGGCCAGGCATGGCCTAACACTCTGGAAGGCTGAGGAAAGAGAATCATGTAAGCTCTAAGAGTTTGAGATTGCTGTGAGATATGATGCCATAGCTCTCTACCGAGGGTGACAAAATGAGAGTCTGTCTCAAAAATAAACAAGTAAAACAGTTTACTATTTATTATTTTACTTTAAATTGCATATGAACTTTTTTTTTGAGACAGAGTCTCACCATGTTGCCCTTGAGAGTCACAGCTCACAGCAACCTTAAACTGTTGGGCTTAAGCCATCTTCTTGCCTCAGCCTCCCAAGTAGCTGGGACTATAGGCACCCGCCACAACACCTTGCTTTTTTTTGTTGTTACAGGTGTAGATGGCCTGGGCCAGGTTCAAACCATTCACCCTTGCTGCATGTGGCTGGAGCCATAACCACCTTGCTAGGGACACCGAGCCTTAACTCAGTTCTTGCATGTTACTTTAGTTTTCCTGAGCCCTTTAAAGTGGTTAAAACAAGTTTGATAGGTGTTAAATTATTTGATCACATTTTCGTTCTTTAAATGTTACTCCATTTACTTTTTTACAAGGTTTCCTAGATTACTCACAAGATACTTCCAAATTGTAAAATTAACAACTCATTAAGTTTTTCTGCTTTTTTTGAAGACTAAAATTAACAAGCCTTAATGAGTTTATCACACAGACACTGGAGTAACCCTGAAGGGTAAATAAGACCACATCAGCAACTTCTACCTTTTTAAAGGTTAAGTGATAGGAGAAGGACTGACCCAATATTCAGGGGGAAAAAAAAGAACAATTAAAAACAGGTTCAGCGCCTATAGCTCAGGCGACTAGGGCGTGACACAGCCACAGCCACAGCCACAGCCACAGCCACACACACACACACACACACACAGGAGCAAGCAGGTTCAAATCCAGCCCAGGTCAAAAAATAGCTGGGCATTGTGGTAGAGGCCTATATTCCCAGCTACTTGGGAGGCTGAGACAAGAAAATCACGTGGGTCCAGTAGTTTAAGGTTGCTGTGAGCTGTAATGTCAAGTCACTCTATCCAGGGCAACAGCTTGACTGTCTCAAAATAAAATAAAAATAAAATTAAAAAACAGACAACCCAACCAAACCCAGTAGCACACATCAGATTTCAAATGTAAAAAACCAACTAAAGGATGAATGGGGGCGGTGCCTGTGGCTCAAGGAGTAGGATGCCAACCCCATATGCCGGAGATGGTGGGTTCAAACCCAGCCCTAGCCGAAAATGGCAACCACAAAAAAAAAAAAAAGGACGAATGGGCCAACTTTCCTCATTTGTTTTGATTACAAATCTGCAGTATTTGGCTATATTTTACACAAACTTTTGGAACTGATTTTTAACCCCCTATTCAAATTAACAGCAAAATACAAATAAGTTTCAACACTGTGGGAATTATACATATACACAATGAAAAGCTAAAAGGGTCTGAGCTCCCGTGGCACAATGGTTGCGGTGCCAGTCACATACACCAAGGCTGGCGGGTTTGAACCCAGCCCAGGCCAGCTAAACAACAACTACTGCAACAAAAAATAGCTGGGCATTGTGGCTGGTACCTCCCAGCTGCTTGGGAGGCTGAGGCAAGCGAATGGCTTAAGCCTGAGTTTGAGGTTGCTGTGATGCCACAGCACTCTATCCAGGGACCCAGGGTGACAAAGAAAGACTGTCTCAAAAAAAAAAAAAAAAACTGAACAACAAAAAAAGTTGAGACAGTCTGTGTCATGATCCATTATTTCACTTCCAAGAAACAGAGTCAACAGCATCCTTTCTGATTCATCTGTGCAATTCTCAACTTGCTCAGCTTACTGCTGTTGCTGGAGGCCAAGGCAGGAGGATCCCTTAAGCTCAGGAGTTTGAGACCGGCCTCAGCAAAAACCTGTCTCTATAAAAATAGAAAAATTAGCAGGGCATTGTGGTGGTAACATGTAATCCCAGCTACCTGTGGGGGCCGAGGCAAGAGAATCGCTGAATCCAGGATTTTGAGGTTGCTGTGAGCTAGGCTGGTGCCACAGAATACTAGCCTGGCCAACTGAATGAAGGAAGACTCTGTCCCAAATAAATAAAAATCCTAGACTGGGAACTGAGCCCTAAACAATTGAAAATTGAAGCCAAGCCTTCCAAAAGTCCCTTGCCTTGTTTTCTTGACACTTAGAAACACCCCCTCTTAAGGAACAAAGGTCTGAAGGGAATTTTCGGACTGGACACGTTTTTAGACCATTCATCCAGAATGTTTTCAGTATATAAAAGCACATATATTGCAAAAAGTATGAAGTTAGTGAACAAGATATGTTTCTAAGCTTGGTGGCTGTGGCTCAAGCAGCTAAGGCACCACCCACATACACTGAGCTAGTGGGTTTGAATCCAGCCTGGGCCCGCAAAACGACGATGGCTGCAACCCAAAAATAGCCAGGTATTGTGGCAGGAGCCTATAGTCCCAGCTACTTGGGAGGCTGAGGCAAGAGACTCCTTGATCCCAGGAGTTAGAGGTTGCTGTGAGCTGTGATGTCACAGTACTCAACCCAGGGTGACAGCTTGAGGCTATGTCTCAAAAAAAAAAAAAAAAGAAAAAAGGTATGTTTCTACTGGGCTACATACCAACTCCTTTACCTAGCCACCACCTAATTCATATAGATTACTAAAATTATGCTTATTCTCAATGGCATGGGGAGGAGAGAAGACAAAGATGCTGGCTCAGCGCCTATGGCTCAAGTGGCTAAGGCACCAGCCACATACACCTAAGGTGGTGGGTTCGAATGCAGCCCAGGCCCGCCAAACAACAATGGCTGCAACCGAAAAAAAATAGCGCGTTGTGGTGGGCGCCTGTGGTCCCAGCTACTTGGGAGGCAGAGGCAGGATACTCGCTTGAGCCCAGGAGTGGGAA